GAACCACTTTAAGATGATGTGTTGAGTATTCTAGAGTCTGAGGAGTCGGATCTTTCATCATAGTCGTCCTCGGTGTAAATGGACTGCTTTGACACAATTGGACACCCATCCTCAGGGATGGAGATCCGAGGGTCTTCAGGGGTGCGAGTGGGGAGGACAGGTGAGCTTCTGAAGACGCTGGTAGAGTTACTGGGGAAAGGGCTGACGTACTGGGACCTCAGCTGGTACTGCTGCTGCAGTGTCATGGTGTTCCACAGGGTGACATCGTTGGGCAAAAAAGGGCTTGACTGGTTCCTCGCCAAAGTATTCCTCAGCATCAGAGGGTACCTGGGTGGCTGGGGGAAAGGGTGCTGCAGAGGCACAGCCAAGGGGTTGGGGACAACGTTACTAGAGTCGGTGGAAAACCGCAATGTGTCTGGGACTCTGAAGGCCGATCCCACGGACCACTTGGAGGAGGAGATGGGGTAGGAGCCCAAGGTGTGTTCGAAGATGTGCCCGTTGGAGGGCAACATGAGGCTTTCTGGCTCTGCTGAAGTTCGGTCAGCTGCTGAGACTGAGGAGCGACTGGAGAGCAGGACCTCCACGGCACTCACCAGGTCCCCCCCACAGCCCTTCAGGATCAGCTCAAGCACCGTGGGCTTCTGGTTGGGGAATATCTTTTTTAACACTTCCAGAGGGGGTCTGTTAGCCTTCAAGCTGAAAGGCAGAGAAACGGTCCCTGAGGGGCCCTCGATCAGGAGGTGATTCTGTTCCCCATGGTACTTGGGGCTGTCGGGGCGGCTCTCAGAGTTGCCTCCGTTTTTCTGGACCGCATACCCCCCTTCATCCACCGACACGATCTCAGGGCTCTCAGGGGTGAAGCAGCCCTTACTTTTTGCCACATCTGGGGAGCTCCTCTGGTCGGCATCTTTGTCGCTGAAGGTCTCTGTGTTGTCTGCCGTGCTGCTGTCCCCAAGTCGCTCTTCAGTCAAATCTGAAAAGCAGAGAACAGCTGGGTTAATCCTTTCCTGCTGTACATAAAGGAACAGGTGTGCTCAGGAGAGAGCCCAGCACAGGCTTTTGGGAAGAGGAAATGCAACCCAGTGGGTTATATCATACCGCAAACCTTACAAAAAAACAAAAATCCAAACTATGTCATTGGCAAATGGCAAAAAATAAAAAAAATTTAAAAAGACACAAACCTGTATATAAATAAAGCCCCAAAACCAGAGTGATTTTTCAGAATGATGTGTGCAGGGAAGCCTGCCGTCGACAGGCACGGCAACATGATACCTAGACCCATAGAGGATGTGGCTGCCTAACAGTACAATCTAAACAGGGACCCTTTATGGGGCTGGGGACAAGCACAGCCCAGGAAAGAACAGGAAAATGAACTCGGGCTTGTCTTCTGGCTCCTCTCCTGCAAATGAGGTGGCCAGTTCAATCTAAGGACATCATTAGCTGGCACAACCCATATACTATGGGAAATTTTAATATTTTAAATCCATTTTCCCATAGGCAGATTTTGTGATAGATATGTCTTGTGAACTAGTCATCAATATGTTTCAACAGGATACCCTGTACAATAACTAGTTGATATAATTGCCAGAGTAAAAGAAATATGCCTCTATCCATTGAAATCTTTCTTAAAAAGCCATTCAAGGGAATGGCAGACTTGTTTGTCTGTAATTTGCATTAGAGGGCAAGCAAAACCAGCTGTGCATTCTAGGTGATGGGACAGGTTATGCAAGAGAAAGAAGGAAATGGCTGGAGAGGGTTTGTGAAACTGTGCGGGGAGCGGGACCCACCAATGAGATCACGTGTCCATCAATAACTGCAAGACCTGGGGTGCAAGAAAAAGATACGTTTTGCTGAACTGTTTTCTTAGTAAAGTTCATGGAAGAGACTTAAAGAAACCTTCTTGAATTATATTAAAAGAAGAGAGGAAAAAAAGCTTCCCAAATAAAGCAGAGATTTGCTGTGAAGTAAACCAGTTGCAAATTTAACATTTTGACCTAACACATTCCCCCCAAAAGGGCTAGTATGACAGCGCTAAGCAGGCAGACAGGGGTTGGTAAGGCTGGTTTGCTTGCAGAAGTAAATTCTAACAGCCCTTTATAATAAAGGAACATATTCTTTATTAACAAGCTACACTAAAGTGGATTTTTATCCTTTTTAAAACATGTACTGGCTGTGTCTATTCAAAGCCAATGTAACTGATCTAAAAATGAAAATTATTAATGACCCAGTTGTCAGGTTGTAAACAATCAGTGTAGTGTGCCTGTGTTTTCCAGTGCCCTGCCTGAATAGTCTCATTGTCGCCTTCTCTGTGGGCACACCTGATTACGTGTAGATAGCCAGCCGATGAAATTTCATCAAAGCAGCTTCTAAAATCCATCTCCTTCTGTTTGTTGTTGTTTGTTTTAAAAGCATGCAACAAAGGCCCATTTATGGACCTTCTTCTAATACGGGCTGCATCTTAAATATAACTGAAAAATATAACTTTGGTTCTTCGCCAAGCAATAAGTATGGGCCAAGCAGACTTTTAAAAAATATTCTTAAATTAGATCAGTGCCACTTTTAATGATAAATCTGATATAAAATTCATATTTATCCCAAGTTTGCATTTTAACTAAACTGTTTCTTTTTCCAATATAAAATATAAGGTTTCGATATGGGGTTCATTTGCAGCACACACATATTAAGCCGTCTTAACAACTCTGGGATGCACAAAAGACCTATTTTGGAAAGAGAAATGTGACATATTCTCTCTTGCAATTTCCTAGGACTGGGGTCCCAGCTTTCAGCTCCTGAGTTGATGTGGTGTTTGTCTTTGATCCAAAAGAGAAAAACAGCAACAAAAACAAGCTTCTGTAGATTCATATTCTAATCAGCTAGACCTATCTAGATTTTCCTGATTCATGACTCCGTGCATACCTCATGGCTGTTATTCTATTATTAAACACTTGAAAATGAGTGAACAGTGACATTTTGTTAACTCAGCACTGAACAGAACACACAATTGGATTTTGGCCCCTGCTCAGTGGAGCTTGGGAAAACACGTCAAATATGGACATGAAATAATGTTTTAAGTATTATACTATGTATCTCTACATAGTTTTCTTATTTCTGTAACTTTAGCTTTCATTACCTGTTATTGTCAGTATCAAGTATTTGTACCCATGTAATGTACAAGATACTGAGGGACACAGAATAGATGGTGGAAGAAGTGTGAAACTAGCCCCTAACTTGTGGAACTTATTATCAAGTTGCTGAGATAAGATGCATATTCAGGGGGAGAGGGGGACACAGAATTTGCTAAGCATAAAATATAACACATGGTGTATACAAATGTCCACAGCACCATTATCCACAGTAGCCAAAAGGTGAATGCAACCCAAGTGTCCACAGATGGATAAATAGACAAATAAAACATGGTCTATACATACAGTGAAATATTATTCAGCCTCAAAAAAGAATGAAAGTCTGACAAATGCTACAACATGGAGGAACCTTGAAAACATGCTAAACAAAATAAGTCGGTTACAAAAGAAGAAATATTCTATGATTTCACTTATATGAGGTACCTAGAATAGTCAAATTCCTAAAGATAGAAAATAGAATGGTGGACACCAGGGGCTATGGGGGTGTGGGGGGATAGGGATTTATTGTTAAATGGGTACCGGGTTTCAGATTGGGATGATGAAATAGTTCTGGAGATGGATAGTGGTGATGGTTGTACAACATTGGGGATGTTGTTAATGCCCCTACATTGTATCCTTAAAATGGTTGAATAGCAAATTTTATGTTATATATATTTTCCCGCAATAAAAAAGAAAAGCATGACATACAGTATTGTAGCAATACAGGGGATGGTGAGACTTTTTTAAGCAAGAGAAACAACTGTTCTTTCTAGGAAATAAGGGCAATAGTATAAGTACACCTAAAAAGCTCAAAACTTAGCTATTTTTAAAACAAATGTGTGAGCCTAAAAACAGCTCCTTATTTTAAAAGGCATATTTTTCCTCACTCTGGATGAGTTCAAACACTGAAAATATTTGAGGAAAATGTTTTGAGGTCTATCAATCAAATCCATTTTCCCACAGAAGGAAGTGATTCAAAGAGGAGCTTAGCCAAAGGGGAACTATGGAATGACATTGTGGCTAATCTGACATGTCTACCATCATGTAAATGCAGTATTTTTTTTTCAAGATGGCAAAGGATATACCGTCCCAGTCAACTGGATATGGGATGGCAGCACTGTAAGTCTGACAATACAGAATTCCACTGTTGCACCTGCTTTTCTGTTCTGCAGAAGAGGTCAGTCACAGTGGACTCCTATATGGCTTGCTCACCAATTGTGAACTCCCAGACTGCAAAAGCCTCTTTATTTTCTCCTGCTACCCTTTGCCCCTGCTCCTATGCCATGCCCAGTGCAGCACGCACTTCCGGTTACTTCTCAAAGAGTGGTGGTGGGCTGTGCAGATTCATCCACTCTCTCTGCAGGGTTCTGGACGGATCAGCCTCTCCAACTGAGAGTCCAGACTATGGCCAAAACGTGAGAAAAGCTATCAAGATGTCACAAAATCAAACTGACAAATTCATAACATGCCAACTGAGTCGAGCACTGTTTATACAGTGTTTAAAGGGATGACGGAAAACATTGAAAGAAGCAATGAGTGGGATGCACCTATGGCATCATATACCCGAGCAGCACATAAAGTCCTGCTATGAGGTGTTGGGTGAGCAGAATCCTAATCAACATCCAAGGCTACTGGGGTTTCAAAACTGGGCAAGGGAAGACTAGCCTCTCACCTTGCATCAATAATAACTCCTAGGCCAACATTAATTTCTGAAAGCAGAATACACAGTCCTTGCAATTTTGTGGCACTACGGCATCTCGTATTGGTTGTATTGTTCTACCTAAACTATATGCATTGTAAATTATTCTATCATAAACACAGATTTTCACAAGTAATTATAGAGGGTGAGTTCTGAGCCCAATGATAAAGTGTAATTTAATAACAGGTGTTTCTTTACATCTCTAGATTTTTTTCCCAAATGAACCTTATAAATTGTTCATGTTGGTCTAAAACACAAAAGCCTTTCTACATACAGAAATGTGAAACTGCCAACTAATATAATGAAAAGGGAACTACTCCCCAAACGGTTTACCCTCTTTCTTCTTGGAACTGACGCCCTAATTCCTAGAACATAAAGAGTAAGAGTATATTTCAGCTGGTAATATTTTTACCCTTAGTATGTGGGTATAGAGAGCCAACATTACTAGAAAAATAGTAGGAAGAAATCAATTTTATCTGATATTACAAACCACCTTTTGAAAGTGATACAATCTGCTGTTTTTAATGCTGAAATATTTAAAATCTTACTAAATGTTCACTCTTCAATTTCGTATTTTTCATGATGTAGAAACATGGGCACCCCTGAAATAAACTTTTCACTAGGGTAAAGGTTTTTAAAAGATGACATTCAATTAAGAATTAAATTTTTTCTATGTATATAATGCTACCAATATATATGCCATAAGATAGATACAAGACTTTAAGGAGAGAAAATTAGCACTCACACAAAAGTGACTTCTGATCTAAAATTATAGCTTACAAAATCTAACTTTATTTACAGGATTTTTTTCATGTGAAATGCATTTAAATTAAAAAATATTCTAGGTATTTATTTCAAATATTTTGAGAAAGCCTACCCTACTATGTGAAACAGAGATTCTGCTTAAGACATATAAACAGGGAAAATCTTTCTGACTTAAATGTGATGGGTTTTACCCAAGTATACCTACAAAACCAAAATATATCTTACATCGAGAATGAAAACACAAAAACACTGGCATATAGAGGGATGTTTCCTAGTGCAAGTCACTGGACTTTTTCTTTCTTTCTTTCGAAATCATGTCAGGCATTTTGAAACGTGGATTGTCATGTCCTCATATGTTCACTTGGGCTTTGGGGACCACACCTCTAA